CAGATACCAACCTTCAGATATGGCAGAGGCAGCTGCAAAATTACAAGTTTTAATTCAGACCTACTATTTGGACAAAAATCCTATATTTAAAGGGGTTGGCCTGATAAAGAATAGGCGTCTAATATCTATTAATTAACCACAGGAGTTAAAAGAAAATGCAAGTTTAGACAGACCGACAAAAGATAAGAGTGGAACTGGTGGAGAACTGGGGGGCATTTCTAACAAAATAGGAGATATAGTTGTAAAAGAATACTACAATCAACAGTCAACACCAAAATAAGTATAAGCACATTATCTCAAACAGGTCATATTAATTTGGTTAATGGACCGAATAGTCACTTTACATGTTTTGAGGTAGGAGGGATGTAAGATCACCATAATAATGAAATAGTTTGACGAAATCTCGATATAGTTTCAGATTTTTCAGCCAAATATATGGCACACATCAGTATAAATACTGGAGTCAAGAATTAAAATGTTGAAGAAATGAGATACTCACCATAGATCGCACGAGCTTTAAAGCACTAGTGTAAACCTGCATGACAAACAGAAAAGTAAACACGGTCCAGCCTTAGTATACTGTATACCAACGTCTTTATAACAAGAAACACTTCAAAGTTATCGTTAACATAATCAGAAGCTGTCCAGTTGAACTGAGGAAATCGAAAATGAAGAGATCAAGAGAACATGGTTTCACTCCATAAGGAAAAATTGCAGAATATAATGATGCTACAAATATAGTAGAAATATAGTAGGGGTTGGGTGGTGCAGACATAGTAAATAGGATAAATTACGACTATCACCCTACCTGATTATGGTCTTTTAAAATACCGATTAGTTATTTCTTGGACAATAATTTAAGAAAAAAATGAACCTACGTTCCGATCGGAGGTTTTTTGTGGTCTGAAAACGAGGGTCTTAAGGAGTTATTTGTAATATTTATAGATAATGTCACTTCAACTACTCAGTTTGTATATATTGCATAATCGATTTCATTTCACTTCATTTGCTTATTCTGTATAAAATTTACATCAAATCTTCTATTAATAACAAATTAATAGTTTAAACATTGAAGAAAAAATAACGTCTTTGTTTGTCTAACTTCAAGGTTAAATTTATTCCCGTGAAAATTGTATGTATATTATATTGCCTTGAACTGCAAGAAGAGTAGAATTTCTTAGAATAGCTTCTAAACTTTGGTGCAGAACAAGCGCCAAGAAGATAACATATCAATAATTCTTTACAAAGGAAAAACCTCTATGTTTTTTTGCATAATAACAGGGAGGTATAACTGACATCTAGTGATAAGATATTTTGACAATTTTATTTATTTTTTAATTTTTTTATTTAGGATTAATTTATGTATTCCAGGATTTTTTATTACAGTTTGTGACTGATTCTTAGTTTGGGGGTTTATAATGTAATTTAGGGGATTTTTGTAATTTAGACATATTTCGGGAGGTTATTAGTAATTTATATTTTTCTTTTTTATTATTTTTCTTCTAATTTGGAGGGTTGTAGATATTTCACACATTATGTTAGGTGTTTTGAAGACGGTTAGTTTGAGTCGTAAATATGTAATTTAATGAACAGGAGAGGAGATTTTTGTAATTTACACAAAATGTTTGGAGTCAACTTACCGAGTAATTGGGCTTCAAAGCATGCGCAGCTGCAATGTATATAGCAGATTGGCTGTATAACTCATCAGGAGAGACATCCTTTGGATTCACATGTCCTCCAGTTCTTGATATGTCCTCTGCTAATCCATACTGTAAGATATTACGCAAATAAGATCAACGCGCACGACATTTTGTAGTCTATTCCCGTTTTTATTTTGTTCTAACCGGTAAAAGTTTATATTCTTATTGAAATAATAATACTACACAATACCAAATTAATGAAGGACGACAAGTATTAAACTAACCAGAACAGTTCCAAGATTGTAGATCGCCCTATGGAAATCAAACTGTAACTGGATCGCTGAACGGAACTGTAAACAAACAAGAAAAGTATTGGGTTATCACAAAAAAAGGAGAATTACCCCTAGAAATCTTCAACTACATATTCAAGCACTTTACTGAAATCATTTGCCGATTCCTAAATGGTGTTAATGTAGGAAGAGTTACATACCTTGCCTATAGCAGTTTTCACTATCGTCTGTTTCTCACGAGCTGGAACAATGGCACTGAGTTCCTGAAAACATGAATTTTGAGCACAAATTAAAGAATAAGTCTTTTGTCATGTGCATAAACAGTGCCATGGGAACTCCAGTTCATCATCTTGTAACAGTATTAACGAAAAGGGGAAAAAAAATAGTTTGGTTCCGATAAAATATTATTGGACTTTACCTGCAGAGCAAGTCCCCAATTGTTAAGTGCCTGCAAATTCATCTCAAGGTAAGTGGATAATTGGGGAAGCAATAACAACAACAAATTAAGAATATCACAGATGCATTCTCGAAAAAGATGGGAATGTGGAATAGTAAAAAGATATTTAGAAGAAAATAGTTCCAAAAAAAAAAAAGATCCTTCCATAGACATTATGAATACAAGGGGCTATGTACTTCGTCTAGATAAATTCGTTTAAAATAGTACCTGGGGACTGTTCCAATTCAGTTGGACAGCCTTTTCGTAATTCTTCGTTGCCTGAAAATTAAGAAACAGTAGGAAACTGTATTATTATAAAATAATTATTACCAGATTACACCATCAGGTGTTCTTAAGTTTTAACCATGCCAAAAAGAATGAAAATAAGTAACCGAGCAATGGATTACAACAAAGACAAGGATTCAATTCGTCTGTCATTAAAATATCAAGCACCATAGAAAGAACACAAGAAAAAGTTCAACCTGTTTCCAGAGATCCTCTGCTTCCTTTGTACGGCCACGCATTTTTGCCCGGTCGGAGATTGCTATAGCCCAATTATAATAAGCCTGATATATGAGAAAAGAATCTGACAGATCTTCATTCAAAGCAATAGCACAAATATCTAATCGAAAGATAAATATAGGTTGAACTAAGCAGTAAAAACGTCCACTAATTTCTAGAGATATCCAATCCAACACCAGAATACGAAGTCAGGTTGAATATCATGAACAAACTGTAAATTAACCGTCATGTAACTAAATAATTTTCAAGATCGCACACTACGTAGTTCTTTAATAACATGGATATATTAAGAGAGTATGTGGCAGCAAGCTTTCGAACTGCATCATAACACACTCACAGACATACATGCACACACAGTAGGCGATATTCAATATGAGATAAGGCCCTCTTTTGTTCTGGAACACCAAAATGCATATGCAATATATTCCTTTTTATTGACATTCAACAGCCACATATCAGAATCACGTGGTAACAAGAAAAATAAGACTATTAACACAGTGATGACACATACATCATTAAGCGTGGGGCAAAGACGGGTAGCCTCCTCATACTTTCTGCATGCTTCTTCAAGCAAAGCATCCTTAGAAGGAGAACTAGATTCTGGATTCACATTATCAGCGCTTTCCTGCATGCATAGTAAAAATTATATGAAACCGTACAACCTCCATAAGGATGTAATTACAAGACTTCGGCTGTGCACTGCTGAAGGAAAGGGTAAATTAATAACTCCGGCAATAACTAATAATATTAATTTAGGGATCCACAAGGGCATGTTCAGTACAATCATTATTATCCATTACACGACAATCCAAAATTCTCATAGTCTGTAACATTGATTGACGTAGGTTACATAGCTTAATGTAATATTTCTTGCACCAAAATGAAAACTAAAAATGTGACAAAGAAACTAAAACACATTCTTGCAGTAGTCTAATATAAGTTGTGCCATTCAAACCTGAAGAACCAGCGCCCAATTGTACAATGCATCATAATCATCTGGATTTCTTTCTAGAGCAGTTGCATATCTACAAATCAATATGAAAGATGACGATTAACAACTTATACAACCCAGGTGAAGGTGAGTTTTTTCAATCGAAAAATTCCTGACAGCATGTATCAGAGCCATGACAAAGTTATCTTCGTGAATTTGTGATACACATGAAAGTTAAAACCATTAATAACACAACTCTAAGACTCTATCCACATGTTTCATGGGCATATGACCATAAGACATTTAAATAGCACATTCTACAGGAATATCAAGTAGCATGCAGGAAATAAAGGGGAGAAAAGGGCTAATGAAACGTAGATACAATGTACGGCCATCTCTAAAAACGTTCACAGCTTTGTAAGCATTGCAATATCAAAATCCTATAACAGATCTCAATTTTCATATAGATATACGTAATGTATACCAAACTAAGGAACCTCTTAGTTATGATGAAAAAGGATTTTGTTCTATCTTCCATCAGATTTTCTCTCAGAAAATTATGAATCAGAGTTTGAAGAAATGAATAGAAAAGGCAGTTCTTTGTTCGAAACAATATTCCATTTGAGTTGGAACATGCAAGCAGATGTTTGTGAAATGATAAGTGATCATTCTAACTTATTTAAAAAAAACGAATGAGAATATACATTGCACTAAAGAAAAGATGACTACCTCTTGGCAGCGAATGTAAGAATCCTTTGACGAGATCTACCTTCCTCGTCAAGACCCGTGACACTATTAATCAACTCCATAGCAGCATTATTTTGCTCAATTTGCTGTTCTGAGTTCGCTAGGCTAGAACAATAAGTAAATCCGCACAAAAAATTATCAGTATCATTTTATCACAATAAAGCAAAACATAATTGTACCACAAAAGTATTAGTGAACCAGAACATTCGATATGCATTAAAACCTAAAGGTTGTATTTGTATTATTGAGTCCCAAATCACACAACTTAATCACCATAGCCTTTCAAGTTATCAGTACCACAGTTGATCATACAGTTAAATAAACAACACCAAATTCACTTCACAAAGAAACTACTGATATAACAATATCAAATTTCAGGTCATCATTTCCAATAGTTATATCCTATTTTTCAGCGTTTGACTTCTCACTAACAATTCATTCTTGAATCCTATTATACTAGAAAACATAATCTCAAATTGATCTGATACCACTGTTGTCTGATTATACCACAGAGGCAACATGCTTCATAGCATTTGGTTTTTCTCAGTGGTCAAAGTAACAGCATTTCTTAAGAGTTATAACCTTTCATGTTCTTTCAGCTTCCAAAACTTTTTTCGATTTTTCAATCACTTAAACAACAGAGGTTTCGGTTCATCAATTCCTAAAAATTCAGCTCGGCAAGATCTAATCAACATCAAATGCAGTAGTATTTCATCGCATTCCCACTAATCCAGCATCAAAATATAAACTTTTAAGCACATGAAGCAACACAAAGATTCCTAAATCCAAACTATCTCATAAACTTCGATCTCAATATAATCCTTCTTCAAAACTGCCACATTATCAAATCCAGAACAAATAATCCTCTTCCAAAAGTTCTGATACAAAAATTTACCGACCTACGAGGAGTGTCGACCTCTCTTCCATCGTTGTCATTAGCATCTCCATTCTTCAACTCGTTCAGCAATTCTCTCATAGTAAACGTCCGATTCCCTTCCGCCGCCGCCAGCTTCGAATCGCTCTCGGCCTCCTGGTTCGACTGCACCGCCGCGGCGGCACTTGATTCATCCGAAATTTCTGCTTCCGGCACAGAATTCGCCGCCTCATCAGCATCAACTGATTGCACTTCTACAGATACCTCCGCATCAGGCGGCTGTTGTACTTCGGCGTCGCTGGGATCAGGTAGCTGGGGATCTGGATCGGCAGCCGGAGGTCCGGCAGCAACTGCAACTGCAGCTGCAGCTTCGGGTTCGGATTCAGGTTCGGGGGTTCCGTTCTGCAATTCGGAGTGCTCGGAATTGGAAGACATAGTGGTAACAAAAACTCAGGATTTCGGATTTGGAAGGAGAGAGAGAGGGAAGTGAGAGATCTGCAAATGCAACGACTAATTCTCTACACTTTTAATTTGTGAAAATTCTCTTCCTTCTGATATTATTAATATATTATTTGTGTGGATCGTCAGATAGAAATTGTCCGTTTATTGAGGAGCCATAATCACAGGCCCAGCCCTTGGTCAAGTGTACTTCTCCGTAATAGCCCAAGTCTAGAAAATATATCGGGAAATTAAATGCTACGGCTGGTTATTTACATTGAGCGAATTTGAACCGTAGATCCACATATAATCAAACGATTTTCATATTTAATAAGATAAAAATAAAAATAAAAATAATTAGAAAATTAAAAAAAAAAAATTGTTAATTAGGGATGGAAATCGGTGGATCGGAAATGGCATTTTTGAAAATTTTCTAATTTTGTTTGGAATTTAAAAATTGGGTTTCAATTTCATTCTGATTTCGGAACGCCTTGGAATTCGACGGAATTTCAGAAATTTCTGAAACTACATTAGTTTATAATCTTTTTGTTCCAAATTCAGATTTGATGGAAATTTTAACAATATTTTTCTATCTTCTTCAATTTTTTGTAGAAAAATGCAAAAAAATCCAAAAGAGAGTTCGACGCAATAAATAAAACCACATTTGTGAACAATAAATTGAAACATGGATTTACTTGACCCTTCAATATTTATATTTTTCATATAAAATATAATATAAGTCATATTATGAAATTATAAAATATATCATAAAATTATATTATATATTTCGAAAAACAATCAAAATTTTCGGAACTAAAATCAGACCGGAAATGGGAACTTCCGGTAATTTTATACACAATTTCGACTCCATTCCAAATAAATTCTTCAAATCAGAAATCGAAATAAAAAATACAGTTCCAAATTCGAATATTTTTATATTGGAAGTTGGAAATTTCATTCCGATTTTCACTTCTATTTTTTAATAAACTGTCTAATACTGTAGGCCTTTAGCCAATGTTGCGGTCTACATAAAAAATTTCCCAATGAAGAAATGCCAATTTAAAAAACATGAATAATATGCAGATAAACAATTCACAGTACATGTCAAGAAATACATTCAAAATAAACCTTGCCTTAAAAACAACTTTGTTAATATATAAGCAGGGTTTGCCACTTCACTAGGGGGTGTGTCCTCAGAGCGGCCAATACAAAGTGTAAATCCCACAAATTAACTTAAAACACACAAGTTTGCCTGTCATGTTTTTTTGTTCTTTAAATTAGAAAGTAACAACAGAGCAAGCAAAATAAAAAAAAAAATTCTAGGACAATTAAATTAAATAAAAAAAATAAAAGAGGGATTTTCCGAAAATCAAATCTTGTCGTGTAGGGTGACCACCAAATCATGGGCATCGTCTAGAAGCTTCCACACATCCAAACAACCGGCCATACTATTACACTCCCTCATAATCTCATCCATGCTGCTATAATTCTCTATAATCATCTTCCTCCTCTGCAGCACACAAGCAGCTATAGCGTAAAGCAACAAATCGTCCGTCGGTGGGGCCCTCAGCCTCATCCGTCGCCACGCGGATCTCACAATCCCCGTCCGTATTGCCGCCTGGTCAGCCCAGATCACCTCGCAAAGGCAAAGCGTCTGATCGAAAGTCCAAGTCCCTCCTGAACAGAACCACCACCATCCTGTACACAAAGAAGCAATCCTCCGCCTGCAGCTTCTCCAAGTGCTTGTACAGATGCGAGTCTTTCCCCTTTATAATCTTCGACACTATATTCAGCTGCCTCCTTATTCCCACCTCATCGAGACGGAAATTATGCCTCGCCTTTCGCATAAACCCCACAAAGCACCAAAAGGCTACGTGGTCTTCCTCGATAACCGAAATGATTGGAGATAGCAAATCGCTCATGCCCTGGCAATAGCCAATTTCGGTATCGTACAAAGCATAAGCTTCTAGTATAGCTACTAGGCGGGCAGCATGGTAAATTCTACAAGGCTCGAGATGGTCGAAATCTTTTAGTCCAACGCTCTCTGCTAATTGTTGTGCTTTGGCTTCGGATACTGCAGCTTGAGATGGGGAGTAGACAATCCACTCGGAGTTCGCGCGCACAGCGTCTAGACGAATAATACGCTGCCACGTGGCGAAGTTTTCAGACTTGCATGATGTGGTCCCCGTTTCGGGCTTCTTGAGAGTGGAGTCGGAGCGGTCATAGGGGTTGTTGTTGTTGTCTTCTGTTTCGGTTGAGCCGAGGAGGGGTTTTGTGTCCTCGGAGGAATCTTCTGAGGAATCGGAATCTTCGGAGGAACCTGTTTCGGCTTCGTCGGAAATATCTTCATTGGTGATTACGCCGCCGTCGTGCTCTTCCTCCTCCTCCACTAGCTCCGCTGAAACGGAAGGTCTGCTGGCGGCACTGGAAGCTTCGTCCAAGGTTGGAGAATCCAAGACTTGACTGATATTGTCTCCACCATCCTCGTTGCTGTTGTTTTCGGATGACTCCTTTAACTTGAAACTCCTTTCACCGCGTTTTGAGATTTGAAAGCACTGTTTCCGTAGCTCTACATA